TTTCACAAGCAGGGCGGTTCAGGAGCCCACTTGCAGCCCATCAAAAATTGATTTAATTGCAATTTTTCCTCCAATTAGGAGCACTGGAGCCTGACTAATTGGAGTAATAGAGAGTAATAAGGCTCAGATAAAAAGCCTTCCTCGGCGGCCTTTGTATCTCGTGTCAGTGCCTGTCAGAGGTCAGAGAGCTTGCATATTCTATTAGGCAGCCCGGCCTTCATTTGTACAAATTAGTTTACCCAACAGTAATTAAAATGCCAATGCGGGTTGAAGAGAACTGAATACACTTGATGGGCATGTTGGTGACTGATGTGACAGCTCTGGTGGCCTCCCTTGCCAAAGTGTGTCAGGCGCGGCTCAGAGGCGGCCGGGGCCCGGGCCGGCTGGGTGGCTCCGGGCCAGCCACAGGGCGCAGCTGCGAAGCACGCCCCTCTGCCGCCGGGCCGCTCGGCCGCCCCTTTCTTCTTCCAGGTGGAGCCGTTGGTTCAGTTGTCCGTTTGTTCATCCGACAAGCGCTCGAGGTCTCAGGCGGTGTCTGGCATCATGCGAGGTGCGGCGAGAGAAGGCACCGGGCCAGGCCCTGGCTCAGATCCCGGCTCTGCTCGTGGCTCCTTGTGGGAGCCATGGGCCTCAGGTTTCTGGCCTGTAAAATAGGGCCAGTGGTATCTGCTGCACCGGGTTATGAGGATTGGATGGGATGAGGTTTTTGAAACCCTTCCTCAGAACCTAGCACATAGCAAGTGCTCAGCAAATGACGAGTGTCATTAAGCGGCCCTAAAGGAGGGGCGCCTGGGCAGCTCCGTGGGTTAAGCGACTGCCTTCGGCTCAAATCATGATCCCGGGGTCCTGGGATCAAGCCCCACGTCGGGCTCCCTGCTCAACGGGGAGCCTGCTTCTCCCTCTGCCAGCCGCTCCCCCTGCTTGTGCTCGCTCTCTCTGTCAAAGAAATAAAATCTTTAAAAAAAAAAAAAAAAAAAAAAGAGGCCCTAAAGGAGCCTACCTTCTTCCCGGCCTGCTCATGCCTGAGTAATTTCCCTTCTTCCCTCCTCCTCTCTTCTGGTTCTTGTTGTTTTCCATTCCTCAATTTGAGTACCAGAACCCCTGATGCTCCTGGGGTCTTTCTCTGATGTGGGGGCTCCTGCATCATCTTCTTGGGCCAGAGGATGATCTCTGTGATGCCAGGTTTGCTTGAGCTGGGACCAGGGGGCCAGGAAGGTAGGTCAGGAATCTGGACAAGGTCTGGGGCAAGATGGGACATGGGAGGAGCCTAGCTTCCTATAGGGGCTTTCTCATCTGAAGAGAGTAGAGTTTATAGAATCAGAATGACTTTTATTTATTTTTTAAAAGATTTTATTTATTTGAGAGAGCAAGAGAGAGATTGAGAGCATAAGTGGGGAGAGGCAGAGGAGAAACAGACTCCCCACTGAGCGGGGCTCGATCCCAGGACCCTGAGATCATGACCTGAGCCAAAGGCGGATGCTTAACCGACTGAGCCACCCAGGTGCCCCAGAATCAGAATGACTTTTAGACCCTCAAGCTGAGAGAGTGTGTGTGCTTGTACAAGAATGTGTGTGTTTGGACATTAATGTGTAGGTACTGTTGGTACTTCTCATCTATAATCTGGTTGGGGTGCTTATGAGGGATTTCACTTCCCCAACGATGTGGGACTGTGGCATGTGTCCTTCAGGTCTGAGTCTGGTGATGTGGGAGTTATTTAGGAAGCAGAGGGACCTCTTCACAGCTCCTAGGTCTAGCTTCCCCGGCCTTGTCGGCTGTGAGCTCCACAGGGCCCTTTCGGTCCAATTCCACAGACTTGGACCAAGTACCTCTTCTAGGCCAGGCCCTGTGCCGGGCACCAGAGGACACAGGAGCCGCTAGATGGTCCATGATCTCAAAGGGAAGATGGGGAGATAACCCCCAAAATACCATGTGTCCCCTGAGGGTAAGATAAAGCCTGGTAGGGACTCGGAAGAAGGCTGGTCAAGTCCCCTGGGGAGCCAGCAGCTTCTGCTTCAGCATGGGTTTGCCGTCCCTGTCCCTAGGACACCCCTAAGAACAAGATGGGACTGAGGGCAAAAGCCATTTGACTCTTCTTATCGTTCTGAGGAGAGCTGGCTTTTTCCGTAACTTCAGACGGTTCAGAAGTTGAGATGATAGCAAAGACCTTTTAACAGGTCAGAGCCCCGGAGTAGTCTCTTGGGAGGCACCATCGAAGGGGTAGTGCGTATGTCCGTTTAGGGTGCCTCCGAGCATTTGTTGGGAACTTCGGGCACGCAGGGCGCAGGGCCGGGCATGGTGAGGGCGTGGACCATCTGCTGGCCGACGAAGGTGGACTGCTGCCCGTGGAGGCCGCGAGATGGCCTCGTGGAGGCTGAGCTCATGGGGGCAGGAGGCCTCCTGCAAGGCGCACATCCCACCCCACTGGCTCCTAAGGTTGGGAGCACCTTATCCAGTGCGGCTCTGGGGAGGGGAGCAAGTGTGCAGAGGGAGTTGATGAAAATCCCTGGGAGCCTGGCTGGCACTTCGTTTTCCCTTCTTGAACGGTGGGAACCATAGCTTCTATCTGGTGAACTTACCGTGTGGTGGGAAGCATCCTTCGGGCGTCCCAGGACTGCGAGTTCCGTCTTCTCTTGTGCTCCACATGTCTCCTACGCTTGGGCAAGACTGCACGTGGGCACACCCTTCTCATCTCCTGACCCTGGATGTGGCTGGTCTGTGGCTTTTGCTTGATGCCTCCTGAAGTCCATGGAAAGTGGAGGGTGAGGCAGGGAGCGAGTGTGGCCGCAAGCAGGGAGGAATAGTGGGAGGTGTGCAGGGCCGTGTCTGCAGCCAGCTTCACCCCCATGAGTCCTGGCGGTCCCCATGGTTTGGGCGTGAGGCCCGGTGTGTGTCCCCAGCGGAACCTGGCTCCCAGGCTGCTTGACTGCTGCTTACGGGGCTTGTACCGAGTGTTAAATTGGATTACACGCTCAGGTCCCCCTGTGTGCCGGGTGGGGGTCGGGGGGGGCTCTCTACTTTCCTTCGTTCTCTTCCTCCCTGCACCACAGGGTTGGGCAAGGGAAGAGGGCGGCTTTTGGAAAGCAACGTTTCTGGGTGCTGTGTCCAGGTGATCATGACAGGCCTTTGTGTGGCGTGAAGGTGAGAGGCACTCCTGCCGGTGGCAGATGGACGGGGCCGGGGTGGGGGTGGGGGGCAGGAATAGAGAGGGACGGGGGTCCCAGGAGAAGGCGCTTGTGGCCCCACCCCAGCCTTCTGGGAGCTGTTGGGAGTGGCAGATTCAGGTTCAGGGGCTTCCTCCCCTTCCCCTCATCTCAGCTTACCTCGTCACTAGTTAGGACTGTGGCCGGTCAGAGGCCTGCCGCAGGCCTCCCTGGAATGTCTGTGCATCCTCGCTGGCGCCCCTCACCTGGCCTGCACCCCTCACCTGGCCTGCACGCCTCGAAAGTCTGAAGGGCCCAATTGCCCGCTCGAATGCTTTCCAAGTGGCTATTATGTTTCCATCCCAAGGTAATTGGCTTTACCAGTTATTAATGGATTACCCTCAAGAGAAAAATGTGGAGGGAAGGGAGGTGAGGACAACCTCTCCTGGCTTTGTAATTCGGGGCTTCCGTGTCCAGTGGCTGGGAGTCACTCGGGGCAGGACAGAGTGGCTGCTTTGGCTGCCATTCCAGTGGAGTGGTTGCTGGCACTCCCGGGACTCGGGAGGAAGGCGGGATGATGGAGCATGTCCCAGGAGGAAGTCTTGGCTTGAGGCATGGAAGCCCCAGGATGGCTCATGTGGCCTTTTTTATCAGCTCAGGGTTGAAAAACAGACACCTGCCGTGCAATTTGGATTGTCCATCAGTGGCTTGGCCAATGCCTGCCCCCATCAGCAACTGCAGGCCACCTCCCCCACCCCACCCCCCGCCGCCCCCTCCAAAGCCTCTGTCTTCTTCAGAGCCCTCGCTACAGAACTGTGTCTGCCCGCTGACCTGCTTAGGACCAGAGAGCCACAGGTGCTGGGCAGGGCCAGGGCGGATGGGCCAACGGGTCATTAGTCTGTCTAGCCCCCTCCCCCCAGTGCCCGACCTGTAGGGACAAGGCCCTTATCCAGCCCCAGGGCTCCTGAGTGACACAACTGCTTTCAGCTCTCCTGCTCTGGGTTAGGGGTTCCAGCTGGAGTTCCAGCTGGGGTTCCCGCCAGCATCCCTCCCCACCCAGCAAGTCCTCCACCAAGGTGTGGTCTGGCACCCAGGTCCCAGGTGCAGCCCTGGGACTCCACCAGCCTGGCTCACGGCGCAGAGCTTGCCCACCTGCCTTGTGCCTCCACCTAAAAATGGAGCTGCACATGGCATGTGTTGAACTTTTTAGGGGTTTAAGAGTTACTCTGGGGAAGTAGTGTCGCTGTGCTCTGAACTCCGCCGCCTGCCACCCCCCACTCCACGGCAGCGGCGCCCCCGCCCCCTCGCCCCGGCCCTTCGCCCGCTCTCCTCCCGGCCTCGTGCACCAGCCCACCTGCAGTTACTGGCCTTTGACGGTTCGCTCTGCGCAGTTCGGTGCCGTTACGTCTGCCCTGGGTTTGCGGCCCGTTACCTAGCTCTTACCGCCTTCAGCAGTGCCCCCCAACCACCCTGACCTCTGACCAGGGCCTCTTCTTCCCCTCCCCAACAGCCTGTTCCCGGGGGGCCTTTTCTGCAGCCTGACAGGCCTGCCCTCTCTTGGCCTGAGGGTTGCACATGTAGAGATGTGGTGTTCTGGCGGGCAGAGACCACAGGACCTTTCTGAGCGGCGAGCTCCCCTGTCCTTTCACCTGTGGGGGTCCCTGGGGGGTTGTAGACCTCCCCGCACTTCCAGTCGTCTTCCTGCAGCTTCTCCGACACGCCCCCCCCCCCAAACCTTCCCTTGTCCTGGCTCCACTCCGTGATCCCCGGAGAACGAGCACTGCACTTGGAGCTCTGTCGCCGTCCCCACCACAGGTTCTGACAAGCCCGTCCTGACTCTGCTCTCCTTTTGTTTGGCAGCTCTTTTGTGACAGGGACGGCTTGTTGTGGGCACTTCTCACCCCTGAGAATCTGGGACCTCAACAGGTAAGAGATTCCTGAGCCCCTGTGGCTTCCCATGGGGGTGGGGCTGGAGCAGCCAGGGAGGCACAGCAAAGACCGTCCGGCCCACCTGCCCCGTTGGCCGCCAGGTGGCCCAGGAGGAGGCTGGGAAGCACCGGGCCCACGACCCACTGACCACCTCCAAGGTGCATGCGCTCTCCTGGCCTCGTTAGAGTTAGCTTGGGAAACTGTTGGAAGGAATTTGTAATAGGTAAATAATTTCACTTAGAAATTAGGATAACAGCAACCATTTGGATTTGTGATACTTTTTCTCTAAGGAGTGTCTGATTATGTGGCTACATAAAATCCCATCTATCCTAAAATAAAGATTTCGGAAGTGACCTACAGATCCATAAAAAGAATTATCCAGAACAGTTAAAATACATCCAGGTTTTATTCACAGTTCTCTGCCTTGGCAGGCTTGACACATTCCCGTCGGATTATCTACCATTCTGATGAGCTTTTGTCTTGTTTTTTTAGCTTTTTATTTTGAAATAATTATAGATTCATAAGAAGTTCCCAAAATAGGACAGCAAGGTACCTGTGTAACATTAGATAATATATAGGATAATACATAATACAAATCAGAACCAGGAAATCGACATTGGTATAATCCACAGAACTTTATTTAGATTGTCGTCATTTCTGTGTGTGTGCGTGTGTGTGTAGTTCTGTGCAATTTTATCCCATGTGTAGATTCACATTACTGTTACCACAGTTAGGATACGGAACTGTTGGAACCGTCACTTGCCCCGTCACAGTCACACCGTCTACCTGCCATCCCCTCTGGCACTCCCTCTTGTCCCTAACATCTGGCAACCACTATGTGTTCTCCGTCTCTATAATTGTATCAGTTTGAAAGCATTATATAAGTGGAGTAATGTACGTAACCTTTTGAGATTTGCTTCCCCCCAGCGTAAGCGTCGTGAGAGCATACAGTAGTTGCGCCGAGAGGGCTTTACCCGAGGTTGCTCGGTAGTGGTCCCTGGTGGGGACGCACCACAGCACTCGCCCATTGAGCAGCACTCCCCCACTAAGGACACTGGGTTATTTTCAGTTTTTTGACTATTGCAGATTAAGTTGTCATGAACATTTGTGTATAAGTGTTCGTGTGGACCTAGGTTTTCGTTTCTCTGGGATTAATGCCCCAAACTCTTTGAGTATCTGTACCATTTTATAATCCAACCCTGGTGTAGGGGAGATCTAGTTCCTTCACATCCTCAACAGCATTTGGAACGATCATTGTTTCTTATCTTAGCTATTCTCATAGGTGTGGTGTCTGGTGGCTTTAATTGGAATTTCCTTAATAGTTAATGATGATGAACATCTTTTTATGTGCTTTTTTTGCCTTCTGTGTATTCTCTTTGGTAAAATCTCTGCTCAGGTCTTTTGCCCATTTTCTAATTGAAGAGGTTGCTTTTTCACTGTGGAGTTTTGAGAGTTCTTTGTATGTTCTAGATGTGAGTCCTTTGTCAGACATGAGGTTTGCCTATACCTTTTAAGTCTGGAGCTTGTCTTTTTATCCTCTTGACAGGATAAAAGACCAAAGTTTTAAATTTTGATGACGTCCAAATTATTGACTTTTTCTTTTTGTGCTCTTGGCGTGAAGTCTGAGAAGTCTTCCCCTAGCCCCAGGCCCCCACGTTGTGGTTTGCAGTGCCGTGATTTACAGGAGCCGTGAGGGGGCGCTCTGCCCGCCTGTCTCCTGCCTCAGCCGCTCTAGCACATCTCCTCCTCTCTCCATCTCCCCAGGAAAGTATTAGCCATATCTTTTTGTTTTCCTGAAATATCTGTCGTATTGTATTTCCAAAAGATTTTTTTTTTAAAGATTTTATTAGAGAGAGAGGCAGAGGGAGAGGGAGAAGCAGACTCCCTGCTGAGCAGGGACACCCCCACCCCCCCGCCCCGCCATGTGGGACTCGATCCCAGGACCCTGAGATCATGACCTGAGCCAAAGGCAGATGCTCAACCTACTGAGCCCCCCAGGCGCCCCTCCAAAAGATTTTTTTTTTAAACACATGAGATGTTTTCATTAAGTATGTTTTTCTTTACAACATTCTCTGGTGGTCATCCAACCAGAGGGATAGGAGACTCCCAGCTTCCCCAGATACCACATTACATCTTTGGATAGCTCTGAGAGTTCTCATGTCTGTCCTTCATCAAGGGTTGATCTGCTTCCAGGAGCTGTGATCCTGGATAAGAAGCAAGTTGAATTGTGCCTCTGAAGACAGGCCTTTAAATATCTGAAAATTTTGGTCCTGCTCCTCCAGCGTCTTCTTTTTTTTTTTTAGATTTTATTTATTTATTTGACAGAGAAAGAGACAGCGAGAGAGGGAACACAAGCAGGGGGAGTGGGAGAGGAGAAGCAGGCTTCCTGCTGAGCAGGGAGCCGGATGTGGGGCTTGATCCCAGGACGCTGGGATCATGACCTGAGCCAAAGGCAGACGCCTAACGATTGAGCCACCCAGGCACCCGCATCTTCTCTTTATCAGGCCAGAAGTCTGAGGACCTTTAATTGTTGCTCATAAACATCAGTAAAGGTGCTTTTGGCTAAAAGTAATGAGGACCTAATTCAAAGTGGCTCAAACAATAAAGGGGTTATTATTATCTTGAATGACAAGGAGTCCATCCAGGAGTTGGGTGGTTCACTGCTTCCAGGATTGATGGGTTCGGCAGCTCAGTGAAAGCTTGAGAGCCCATCTCAGCTTTCTGCTTTGCCACCTCAAAGTGGGTTTTGCCTTTACTTATCCTCAGGCTTGTTCACAAAAGCTCTACCAACCCATAAGGCAATACCCAAAGGGAAGAAGGAAGGAAGAGGACATGTCCCTGCCTGGGGTCTCTTTTTAAGATGGGGAAACCTTTTAGAGGAGCCTCCAAGCAGACTTTTCATATTTAGTGAGCCACAAGTATGTTCCGGTACTCACCCCAAACCAAACCGTGGCAAGGGAAATGGAATGAGCAGTCCAGATTGACCTGGGCCTGGGGAAGAGCCCAGCTTCCCCTACACGCACACAGGCAGTGGGGGAGGTGGGTGGGCACAGAATCCGCTCTTGGTCAGCAAGAAAGAAAGAGAGCAATAGCTGGGTGGGTGACCTGCAGTGGGTGACCTGCGGTGTTGGTCTCATACTTGTTTTAGGACATTCTCACCTGAAAGTTTCTCCAGTTTATCTGATTGCATCCCTCTTTTTTTTTTTTTTTTAAAGGATTTTATTTACTTATTTGACAGAGACACAGCAAGAGAGGGAACACAAGCAGGGGGAGTGGGAGAGGGAGAAGTAGGCTTCCCGCAGAGCAGGGAGTCCGATGCGGGGCTCGATCCCAGGACCCTGGGATCAGGACCTGAGCCGAAGGCAGACGCTTAACGACTGAGCCACCCAGGCACCCCATATATCTTTTTTTTTTTTAAGATTTTATTTATTTATTTGACAGAGAGAGACACAGCGAGACCAGGAACACAAGCAGGGGGAGTGGGAGAGGGAGAAGCAGGCTTCCCACCAAGCAGGGAGCCCGATGCGGGGCTTGATCCCAGGACCCCGGGATCATGACCTGAGCCGAAGGCAGATGCTTAACGACTGAGCCACCCAGGCGCCCCTGGTTGCATCCTTCTTGAAGTGGGATGTTCCCAGCTGAGTCATGAACACACCGGGCGTGAGCTGATGAGTGGCAGGTGCTATATCATCTTCCTTGTTCTAGATGTTTGGCTTTTGTTAACATAGCCGATGGTCGCATCATACTGTTGCCAGCACAGTGGAAACTTCCAAGGCTTCCTTTGTTCTGTAGCCTCTGGGATGTTGGAGTGCCTGCAGTCTGTGAAGGTGGTTCCCGTGGCTTACCCTGCCAAACTCCTGCCACTGGCAACTTCTTGCTTCTGCATGGGACGCAGGCAGAAGGAACCCCTCCTCTGGTGTGTGCTGGGGAGCCTGTGAGGGCTACAGAGGGAGCACAGGCTGCTGGTCAGACAGACTTGGGTTCTAGAACTGACACTGCTGCTGATTAGCTCTGTGATAAGGGGGCCTCTCTGGGCCTCGGCTTCCACATTTGTAAATGAGATTTAATTATCTCTGCTTAACAGAACTAGTATGAAGAAGGCATTATTTTGAAAAAGTGCCCATACAGTACCTGTCTCCTTCACCCCCTCCCTCCCTCACCCGCGGCTGCCTTCCGCCTTAGGACCTTAGAGTTTGCAGAGGCTCAGCTTTTTAATTCTCCAAATACCTGTGGCCTCATGACCACTAGAGGAGGAGCGGTCCTGCTGACCTCGTGGCATAGAGAAGGCTCCTGACGGTCCGTGAGGCTGCAGGCCACAAGAGAAGTGTGGCTGCTGGAAGTCCGTCTCAGTCCCCCTCCCTGGCCTGGGCTCAGGATGGCGAATGAGCCGGAGGGCAGGGGGTGCATCACTGTGGCCCACTCTTCTCTCTGAGGTCAAGTCATCTTGGAGGGCCTCTTCTGCCTGTGGTCTCCTCTGTGGGGGCTACTCCTGGGCACAGATTTATGGTCAGGATGTACTTACAAGGCACCAACTCCTCGAATAGCACTCCCTTATGAAATCCCTAGTCCTCCTAAACCCCAAACCCTGGGTCTTTCCAGAACCCAGGAAGAACCCAGGAGAAACCGCCCTGCTCCCTTTGGGCGGCCCATGGCAGGGCCGCCCGGGGCAACAGGTGGTGGTGTCTCCTCTCTGGCCCTCAGACCCCCCAGGCCTCGTTGAAACATCCGTCCCGTTCGCAGGGAAGCCTGGAAGCCTGAGTGGTGCCGGGCTCGAAGGAAAGATGGCCTGCTGGAGGCTTCTGCTTCTGGTGGGAGGAAGCGGATGGACAGGGTGACTGTCTGTAGCTGTCTTTCCCAGAGAAGCCCAAGCAGATAATAAAGCCATGTAGAAAATAGGATTAAGGTAATGAACAGGCAGGACAGAGTTTGATCTTTCAATAATGCCAAAGCCTGAGTGACAGGCCAATCTGGAAGGTGGAGCGGCGCTGCTGGCAGGA